GATAAACTGCTGCTCCAACATACCACTGTAAAAATGACAGATGCCACCACAGAGTCATAGAACGTCTTTAAAAGCGCTCCCTGTGCTCCAAATGACCTCAGCCGCCTCAGCAGGTAGAGTCTGCTCTGACCCTTCCTGTAAAGAACATCAGTGTTGTGGCTCCAGTCCAGTTTATTATTCAGGTGAACACCCCGGTACCTATGAGAGTCCATCTCAATGTCCACTCCCTGGATGTTCACCGGTGTCAGTGTGGTGGGTCTGCGTCTCCGGAAGTCCACCACCAACTCCTTGGTTTAATTATCTGCTATTAAATTTGATATCACTGAAAATATAAATAAATATGAAAACCAAATAAGATTTTGAAATCCTTAATAATCTGTTTTAAGCAGGAATAAATAACAAGTCAGGGTTTCAACTCACTGTAGTGTGTTTTCCTCTCTCGTGCACATGTTTATTAGAATTATTAACAACATGTGACAGTCTTACCAGGGGTGGCCACTGGGGGAGCCAGCAAATTTAGGGGATGATCAGTGCCTCCCTGGCCCCCCTTTGGTGGCGCCTCTGTTTATAACAAAGCTTAAATGTGGTTTTCTGTCCTGAAGCTGCTGTGATGTGGCTAGCTATTGCACTTTCAATAATTTAGGGCTCCAAATATACTGGAAGCAGCATAAAAAATACAAATTAGAAGCACCACATTTTTAATCCTTTCAGTGTACCTCATGGGCTTTTAAGGCATGTCTTCATTAAACCCACTCAGGTTATTGTACAAAAGTATCTAGTGCTATATAAATACAATTTATATAGCACTAAAGCACAACAGTTATCTCAAGGTGATTTTTATTTTAAGGTAAAGACCCTAAAATGACACTGTCATGGTCTGGGTGGTTTTCCACAGCATCGGCTCCTCCCCACTGGGTGGAGTCTTTGTTGTTCCTCACCTGATGGCAATCATACCAGCAGCATTTATGACCTGCGCACTCAACTGGTCTTCGCCAGATTATCTGCCAACTTTAGTCAGTTCTCGGCCTCACGTCTGTTCCTTGGTGACTCATCGTGTATATTAACCTTATTTCTTCTGTTTTCTCGTCAGCCTCTGAAACCCACCTACCAAGCTCTCCTGGATACAAGTTTGCAGCCGCCGGTAATCTCTCCCCTTTTTTGGAACTGCCAGTCTCTCCTGCCTGCCTCCCTGCATTGCACGCAGCACCCACCTGGACCTCTCCTGCCTCCCCCCTCCACGCAACCCCCACCTGCAAGCTTGTAAGACAGCTCAGTGTATTATTCTCAGATTCACTCGCAGCTCTCTGTGGGATTCCCCTGACTGCTCTCTCCTCTGTTTCAGTGCCCTGGCCAGCCACAGTTTCCCCTGCCCAGTCCCTGCACCCAGTTATCCCTGCCATCTAGTCATAGTCATAGTCGCAGTATTTTCTCTCGCCTCAGACGTCTAGTTTATGTTCCTTAATTCTAGTCTGAAATTTTTGTTAGCCTCTGAGCATTGTAAATAAAGACTCTTTTCGTTACACCGCACCTCTGGCCTCCGGGTTTGAAACTGCACTTGAGTCCATCCCATTTCCACGGGCCACTGTGCCATGACAGACACAGGTTGGAGGCAGTCAGATTTTTTCAGTGTCGTTCTTTAACGAGTTACTCAATCAGCTGTAGCAGTACTATGAATGTTTGCTTGGGATGTCATCTTACTGGGCTAATGCTGTTTTTATAAATGCACCGACACATGTTGATGAAAACTTTTTAGTAAACTACAGCTGGATTGGTGTTTTGCTTTTTCAGTTTTTCTGCAGTTCACTCCTCTGCTCCATCTCAGGTTGACCTGTCACTGAGGCCCCTCCTCCCTCCCCCTCTGAAGTCACCACAGTAAGGTGTGTATGAATGTGTGTGTTGTGAGAGAGAACGCTTATTTAAAGGGCTACCTCTCTCTCGCCAGGCGATCGACACCAGCTCAGCATTGTCATTTTACCGCCTGCTGCTCCTTCCAGGGAATAACGTGTGAACAGTCTGAACAGTTTTCCTCAGAGACGTCTGCTGAAGAAACAGTTTGTAAGACTGAAATTCCTGCTGATTCTGCACAGAGATCTTTCTTTATAAATGACTAACAGGCTGGGTGATTTACATCCATTCAGTGATTAACCAATAACTTTATTTACTTGCTGTATGTTTATTACACCCTCTACTAACTACTTATCTCTTTTTTTTTCCATCTTTTTTTTTAATGTATTATTGACTGTTTAAGCTGCCAAGCTTAGGGATTGGTACTGGCTTGCTTTCTGGCTTCTGATTAGTCCTTGTATATAGGAATATAGGGAGCTTACAAACCACTACTGGTTACTGGCTGTTGTGTCATTGGTGGATTCGGTCACAAACTAATTTTAAACGATTTCCTGAGATAGCTGTGGACTTGACATTTAACCATTTACTGCCTCTTCTTCTTTAGTGATGTGATGACATTGTTTTCTAATCTCACTTACGTGATGTGTGGTTCACACATAACTACATTTCTAGATTTCTTACTAATCCATAATTAGCTTGTGGACTGGTTTATTGGCCAAAATAAAATACGTTGTTGGAGCACCTTTAGCTTTGATTATGGCACGCATTTGCAGTAGGATCATGTCGATGAGCTGAATTTTATCATTTCAGCTGTGTCAATGTATATTTTCCATCCAGAGCTGCATTGGTTTTTTATCATCTCATACTAATGATGGGAGAGTCTGACCACTCCAGTGCATCCCAAAGAGTCTCCGTGGTGGCCAGTCTGTGTTTGAAAATGTCTCATGCTCTTAGAATCACTCTTTCACAATTTAACCCTGGTGAATCCTGGTGTCTTTCTCTTGGAATATTCTTTTGGAATTTGAGGAATGAGGAATGCAAGGAAAGGAAATGAAAACCTAGTCATTCATTTTGTTCAAGTAGTCAGCTGGCCTCATTTTGGGGGGTAGATAATGTTGCTGAACTTAGACCTCCACACCAATGCAAAGCTCTTGCCTATTTGCTTTATTAGATATAGGTGATGATTTGTTTTTGGCTGGATGAGCCAGAGGAGGCTGGATAAACTTGTTTAAAAAAAAAATGATTTAAAAATAATACTTATTATTATTATTATTATTATTATTATTAGAGTAACTATATGTAATATCTGTTTTTCAGTATACTGAGCTTGTTGCAGAAATGCCTCAGCTGTCTGTGCTGCTGCCTCTGACAGGTAACTTCTGTTCTTTTCTTTTTTTGCTTTCTTTTCTTCCTTTCTTTCATATGATGACAACTTTGTGTGATCTGTTTTTTCCCCATCAGGCCTTTTCTTCCTGCTCTCCTTAGTACTTGGCTCAGAAGTTAGTGGTGAGTCCTGAAAAATACCTGATTGCCTGACAGCAGATAGATCCACTTATTTGACTTGGCACAAATTTTATGCCTGATGCCTGACATAACCAGAAAGAAGCAGGGGCTGGCACTTTTTCAGTCCATAGAGATATAACACCAGGACGCTGGTGTTCCACTAACTTGTACTTGCATACAGTTTGAACTGGTGATCTTGGAATCTGACTTTTAGACTTTTGTTTGTCTCCAAGAGACCAACTTGTGTAACGCTCCAGTTCACCTGCTTAGATATTGACTGAGTTCCTTGAACTGTGACCCTGTGTGGATCAGCAAAGTTCCAAAATAAATACGTGCCTTCAGTTCCTGTTTTTTCAAGTAATAAAGATGACTGTTGTACCATCATTCCACCTTTCATTCATGCCCATGATGAGTGTTCAGCAAAAACGGATAATATTCCAAGCCATGATGTTACTCTTGTAATTTCATTTTCATTAGTTTTGAATCATTTTTATGTTTTTTAAAGTTCTCTGGTCACTTTTGTTCCTTAAAATCATATACTGTAGAAAATGTAAAGTACACACACATATATAAATACGTGTGTATTTGTGTAATTGCTGCAAAAAATAACCAACAAAAAAAACACAATTGTAGTAAAATCACTAATAGCCATAGCTATTTTCTGTTTTTATAAGCATTTTACATATTTTACTTTTTTGTTGTTGTTATTGTTATTATTAACATTTACATTTGATATATGTTTATACTTTTACACTTTATAAATGTTCTTTCCCCCTTATCTTTTTAGAAAATTATTTTATAATGAAATTAATACTATATATTTAATATAAAGAAATCTGTTTAGTTGTATTCTGTCGTTTGTCTTTTTTATGTTTCTGTCTGTTTTTAAAAATGCTTGGTCTTGCCTCTGGACTAAGCTAGCTTACTCTATTTAATGAAGATGAAACCTACTACCTAGATCAAGGATTTTAATGGAGTATTTTGACTGGACATCTTCTGTTTTCCACTCAGTGCCCTATCCAGTGACCTGTACAACACGTGGAGCAGACCTGACCCAGGACACCATGGTGGTTTTATGTCCACCACAGTGCACACAGTGGAGGATGTCTGTGTTTGGGACAGGAGTCTATGCTGCTGTCTCATCCATCTGTGCAGCTGCAGTCCACAGGTACAGCTTTCCTTTCATATCAGCTGTACTTTTTTAAATTTATCTTCCTCCAAAATATGTTTTAATTACATATTATAGTAAATATTAACTGTGATATTTCAGTCTATCACTGAAAACACTAAAACATAATGTTGTACACTAGCTTGATTTTAAAGCTACACAATTAAACCATGGTAATATTTAGAGGACCGTGACGTGGTTGGCTGAAAGGACCGACAGAAAAATAAGCAAAATGGAAAGGAAAACAAAACAAAGTAAATCCTTCTTATCTTCCGATTTTCATTTCCATATTTCTTTTTTTGGGGGGGGGGTTGTTACTTGTTTTCCTATTTTTCTTTTCTTTTTTTTAACTTTTATTCATGTATTCATTTAAAATCTTTTTTTTTTTCTCAGAGTTGATTCTATTTTGTATTGTTGGTTCATTTTTAATTTATTTTCATTCATTATTTTCATTTAGTATTTTGTTTTGTGTGTATATTTTCAATTAAAGTTTTAAATTTAACCTAGGCTTTTTCAATATTGTGTTAAAGTTCCTTCAGTTTAATTTTTCTTTGCTTTTATTACTTTTTTAATGATTAGATGCTCTCCTTCTTATTCAGGATCTTCACTCATTTATTTTTAGCTTTTTTTTTTTAGTTTAATGCAACTTTTTTTTGGTGGTGGAGCTCTATTTAGTTATTTTGCTTTGTGGTTCACTGATTACTTCCTTGTTCCTTCCCCTGCTTCTTGCCATTGTTTTTAGTTCCCTGTATATGATACTCTTAGCAGCCCTTTCAGAGCATGAACACCTCGTCACAGCGGTGTCGTTGGAGTGAGAATTGTTTTTTTCAAACATGTGGATTAGACTCTGTGTTCCGCTGCCAAGATGTGACATAATAGAGAGCAGTGTGAGTCCGGCTGCCTGCTGAACCTTAACAAAACACCAACACCATGAAGGAATGTGCATGAAAGGAGGATTAAGTTCTCAGCCCTGAGTGACCGCCTCATTCCTCTGCAGAGGGCCTCGGTGGCCCACTGAGAAGAAAAATTATGCTGCTTCTTTTTTTTTTTTTTTTTTTTTTTTCTCCTT